ATTATAATTTGACATGAATGTGGCTGTACAGGGCAAAGCATGCCTCTCTTTCCGAGTATAATAGTATTATAAAATGACTCTGACAAAATACATTTTTTAGGTCCTGGCCATAGGCTAGTGTATATACTCAAAGACATTCAGGAATTCCAGAGGCATCTGGGTGGCTCAGTCAGTTGAGCATCCAACTTTGGCTCAGGTCATGATCTCAAGGTTCAGGGGTTCAAGCCCCACATTGGGCTCTGTGATGACAGCTCAGAGCTTGGAGCCTGCCTCAGATTCCGTGTCCCCTTCTCTCTCTCTGCCCCTCCCCCATTCACACTCTGTCTCTCTCTCAAAAATAAATAAACATTAAAAAAATAATTTTACCATAAGGCTGAGTTTGGTAGGACCTACTGTTTTGCGTTGAATGTAAATAGCCCCAGTTATTAAAGTATCACTAGGATCCAAATGTGAATAGGTTTCTTGAAGGCTAGTCTCAGGACTCTAAATACAGTATTAGAGGTATGGATTTATGAGATCTTCATAGGACTTTCTTAATCAAATTTACTTAAGAGATTGGTCCACAAGTTGGTGGTAAAGCATAGAAAAGATTCTTTGTGCCTTGGCTTTAACTCATTGCTTTTTCTAGATACTTCTTGTTTGGGGGATAAAGTCTAAAATGATTAATGTGGCCATTAAGACTCTACCCCTCCCTAGCCTCTTCTCATGCCACTCTACCCTACCCTCACTTAACAGTCCTTTTATGTTGGCCCTTTTTTAGTTTCTTGAAAATGTTACTTTCTTTACTACCTCAGGGCCATAATAATCAATGTTTCTTCCTTCTGAAGAATATTTTTACAGGGTTACTTCCTTTGAGAAGTGATTTTGATTCTTGAGACTATGTTAAATGCCTTCATTAGATGTTCGTTTGACATTCTGTATTTTTCTTTTTTTAAATGTCTTTATTTTGAGACAGAGAGCAAGCAGGGGAGGGGCAGAGAGAGAGGGAGACACAGAATCTGAAGCAGGCTCCAGGCTCTGGGCTGTCAGCACAGAGCCTGATGTGGGGCTCGAACCCATGGACTATGAGATCATGACTTGAGCCGAAGTCAGACACTTAACCGACTGAGCCACCCAGGCACCCCGACATTCTGTATTTTTCTTTCTTAGCACTTAACCTAAACATGATTCACAGTTACTGTCTAAGCATTTACTTAATATTAGGTTTTCTTTCTAGCTCCGTTAAGATAGTGACTATTTCCAAGTTGCTTGCTGTTGCACCTCCAGTGTTTAGCATAGTGTTTAGTTAATAGTAAACATTTAATAAAGATTTGTTGTTGAACAAATTCATCAATGCTGGAAATGTGCTTGCGTTGTGCAAAGGTTGGTTCATCATACAGCCATTTCTACTTTAAATGGTAATGTTGGAATAAAAGACAAAGTGTTCTAATACCACACTAACTAGTTATATCATCTTGAGCATGGCACTTCTCTTTTATAGTCCTCTGCTCATCAGTAGAATGAGGAGGTAAGACTAGACTAAATGATATGTTAAGGCCCTTTCAGTTCTAGGCGCTAAGTACGTCATTTTTCAGCTTACTAAAGTTTTAATAATGACTACTTTATTAAAACTGAACTAATACTTAAGGTGGAATATTTCTGCCATAAAATAGTAAAAGCATTTCTTAAAGTGCTCCAATGAAATCTGGGTGATTTTATAATTTTGAAAAATATTTAGCTAGGCTCATTTTTAGATAAATGCACTGTATGGCTTTTACATATCTTGGATAAAGAAACAACTCAATATCTGAAACAATCACTGAACATTTTTCAAAATTGAAATGGAAAAAATCTATATTTACAGAAACAGTCTTCACCAAAGTTTAAATGTTTATGGGACTTTGGCTAAGTCTGTTATAAGCTTTACTACATTGTTGGTTTTTAAAATTTCAGCTGTGTTTAGAAATGAATATTCATTATTATCATCATTCTGTCTGTGAACTATGATCTCAGAATCCTATGTAGAATGACATTTTTGTAAACTCTTACATAATCATTAATCAGAGTTTAATATTTTCTTTCCCAAACCATTAGTCTGCAAAGGAGTTTTCTAACTAAAGCTATTTATTCGAATAACTAATATTTTATGTTGTTTCAAAAAAGGATGTAGTAGCATTTAGAGAAACTTTAAATTTATAAGTAAACTAGAGTGAGAAGAAAAATCAATACCACCCCTCAGTTGTTGCTCAAGAGTAGAATTTGTGTTAGAACACTTTAAGAGAGGTGATTAAAGCTAGCAGTTATTAAAAAAAAACATTCTATTTAACATTTTGACAAATGATTTCAAAAGAATCACTTCTTGTGAAACAATGTAATTCAATTTGGGCTGGGCTTATTTTCCTTTTATTTTTTTTAAACTCAACACCATAACATAATTCATTATGTATGATAAATATATAATCATATACCACTTCTTTTGCCTCATTTTTAGAAAACATCTCTCCTTCTTAACATCCAGTGATTTTATATAGTATGTTAATTCAAAAATATTGATTGGCTCTCTCTTATTTGCAATGTACTATTCTTGCTGTTATCCCATCAGAAATAATTATGTTGATCATAACTTCAATAAGCTTATAGTCTATCAAGCATGATAAGATATATATACACAACTAAACACAGGTTTAAAAAAAGTGGTAAGTGCCACAAAAAAGGTGCACATCAGGTTTTAAGGATCTATATCTTAGGTCTTCTCCAAAACTATGTGCTTATTCTGAGACTTTGAATCCTCCACAGCTCTTAAACAGAGCCTTGCATATAGAACATATTCAATCAATGTTAGCTTAGAAGATGAGCTCTCTTTGAAATTGTGTGTAAACCTATACCTATTCAATAAATGACATTCTTTTTACCTGGGTCAGATCTGCAGTCTTCAGTCTGAAAAGCATGGTTCTTATATCTAAAATTATATATTTTGTCAGACAGAATGTGAAAATTTTTATTTTTGTGAGTGCCTTCTATCTATACATTAGATTCTGTTTTCTGATTTTTATTTCAAGGCTTATACTACTAAATCTTATCTGATCTCCTACTGACCAGTTTACTCAGCTCTATAAATTTTATGGTATGTGGCAATGGCCCTTCTTGCTTCTAATGTATCAGTAATGGCAGCTCACAAGGAACTCTGAGGAATCTCAGCATTTCTGGGGTCATTCCTCTCGTAGGTACAAACCAGTAGAAAGAGATATAAAATAAACCATTATCAAAGCTTTAGAGGAAGCAATTAACATTATTTCTAAAAATGACTATCTTGTTCAAGCTGAAGGATTTCTGAATTTAGTCAGCTCTTTAAAAAATAGATCTGTTCCCAGGGATTTGTTTTTCTGTGCTTTTTTTTTTTTTTTTTTTCACTAGCTGAAGTTCCCTGGAGGACTCAAGATTGAGTAAAATTGACCTTCATCTGATCTTATGAATTATTGAGAAAAAATGAAGGCATAAGTGATGCCTAAGGATGCCTACCTCTCTAAGATTTCGTGACTCTATGATACTCAGTCATAGGGCACATTAGTCATGATTCCAGATACCTTGTAGCCAATATGTTTTCAGCTCTCAACTGTCTTCACTACATTCAATACCAAACTTTTCTTCAGTGGCTTTATCCAAGAAGAAAATTTTCAGAAGCTTCACTTGCCCCCCTTTTGAAGACCCCTGGCTGAATTTCAAGGGAAAAGGATACCACAGAGTAAAAAGGAAACAGAAGAGGCAGCCTTTTCTCCCACTAAGTTCTAGCAGTTTGACTGACTCTTACTTGTGAATTTTTCTTGCCACTGAGTCATTGCACATACAGAATTATGAAACTTTAATTTCTTTAGAGGCTTGTTATATTAGAAAAATTGTTCCAAAGAAAGCAACAATCATGACATAAGCACATCTGGCTCTTGCAAATTATTCTTTATTAAGCTTTCATTTAATTACATGTGCTGAAAGGTCTGTTTTTGATTACTGTAATTTTTTTTATTTGTCCATCTGAATGATAGTAATGCTGGAAATTACATACAAACCACCTGTTTTCTTCCCTTTACTAATATGACAAAGTTTGAGATATTTTCTCTGTGGTTGATGAACTAGGAAGCTTTCTATTTATTATGATAGAGATATGGCTGTCAAGGTAATGGCTTAATCTTGATTATAAGAAAAAAAGAAAATATTTGAATGGAGTTCCCAAGCATTAAACAGTGTGAAGACTGAGGTATCTGAATTCTGGTTACCCATAGAAGATCAACACATTCACTTATCAATTTCAACCAAAAGCTAATAAATCAATAGTCAAGGATTTAACATCCTGTGCTAGGAAAGAGAAGCTTTATTTCATGTCATGTCATGTCATGTCATGTCATGTCTTGGTCACAAATATGGCTATATTCTCTTGAGGATTATGCTATATGCTGCTGAGAAATAAGACCCCAAGAAAACAGTGCCTGCTATTGGGCCTCAGGGATCTTGAGGGCAGCATTCTTATCATCCATAAGGATCAGAATCCCCAGAGAAGCTTGGTCAGTATTAAATAAGAACAATGTTCTTCCAGGAATCCCTAGGAAAGTTCAGACTCATTTCTTGGTTCATGAATATTAAAATTACATGAATAGACATACTGACATTTAAAGAACTCTTTAATAAAGATTTTAGGGACTAGAAAGAATCGTAGAGACCATTTAATCAAATTCCTTTTTGTACTGACGAAACTGAGTTCTAGAGCAACTGAGTCCTTTGTTCAGGTTCATCAAGTTACTGCTACAGGGACCAGGAGCAAGACAATGGCTCCTGTACTAGTACTCTTTCTTTATATTATTTAGGCTCTCTTATTTCCTTTTTAAAAAATAGTGAAAGAGAAATCACAAGGCTGTCAGGGAAATAGTTATGTAACAATACGGTAAGTTTTGTATCTGTTTTTGTTTTGTGTTTTTTGAAACTCAATTTCAGCTGCATTTAAAGAGATAATGTTTGTCTTCCCTGTTTTGCAGCAGCTCTATGCCGCTCAGCTGGCCAGCATGCAGGTGTCACCTGGAGCAAAGATGCCATCAGCTCCACAGCCACCAAACACAGCAGGGGCAGTCTCACCTACCGGGATAAAAAATGAAAAGAGAGGGACCAGCCCTGTAACTCAAGTTAAGGTACTTGCTTTGCAGGATTGTGAAAACAGTTTGGAAAACAGCTTCACAAGAAAAGTAGTGAACCAGGCTGGGTTGGGAATAAGCAGCAGGAAGCATAGCAGCATAAAGGAACCCCAAATGCTTCTCTTTATGGTAAATTTCATGATTGAGCACTAAGAAACAGGTGTTTCCCTTTTGATAACAATAGTGCCATATTGTGAGAGCTTTACCTCAGTCTGCAAACTCACTTCTCAAGAGTTTTTCGCCTTTGGATTCTGGCTTTTATTTTTTAATGTTCATTGGCATGAATGTCCATGCTTTTATTACCACTCTTTTTCATAGATTTGTGACACTCTCTCTAAGTTCCTGAAACAGGTGGGAGCCAACTTTCAGTACCAGAAAGGAGGTGCTCAAAACTTTAGATTTTAAAAAAGTGGACAGAAAAGAATATATTGCTGGACTTTATATGGTTTGTTGACAAAGGACTGTCCTTCAAAAACAGTTACAAAATGAGCTCTGAGGAATGAGTGGTATCATTATCTACTCATGCTTTGATGCCATGTGGTTGTGAGAGGATACACAAGCTCTCCCAGGTTATGGCTGAGACACTGATAGATGCCTTGCCTCACTCATTTTTAGTATCTTAAAATGTGGCAGCCAGGAGGTACTTCGCGACAGAGGGAAATGGATGATGCGCTCCCACTTTGTGCTGCAGCTGGTACCAATAGGTGGTACTGGTTGGTTTTATAATATAGTTCAGGGAGACAATTGTTTTGTATCATTGACTTTTCTACTTGGAAGGATATGCTAAGCTCAGATGTATTGTTGTAATGTGCCCCAAGCACTACATTTGGAGAAATTTTAAAATTATTAAATTTTCACAAGGGAGGCATCTAAGGCCCACAAAACAGCATCAAATGCTACAAAACCACTGAAAATGTATTATTTTTCCATACTGTGCAGGCAGGAATTTTGAGAGACTCAAAAACTTCTGTCTGCGATTTTGAGGTACTCCAAATTTTGAGTATCTCAAAACTCCTGCCCAAAGCAATTAATTTAATGCCACCCACGCTTTAAACTCTCCAAACACATAGATGAACATTTATGCTTTGTTGTTAGAAATACTGAGATAACGATAGGCAGCTTATATTTAATAAGATAGCATTACTTACAGAAACAAGCTACCCATTTTGTGTTCCAAGAGTTTCTGTTTATGAATAAGAGTCAGAACGCTACAACTCAAACCACAGCACTTTGTTTAATTATAGTTGTTAGAATATGAACGTATCAAACGTTATTGACTTGAAGTATTGAGTATTAGATATTTTAACATGAAAAAGTCATTTTATAAGTGAGTTGGCCAAATGGAACTGCACCAAACCAAGTCTTTACTGGATGAGTAAAATGTTCCCTGGTTAAATTCAAGTTTACATCTGCTTTTACCATTCCAGCTTTGTGGGCCAACTGAGTTTTATTACTCACTTGACCACATGCAAATTCTTAGGGAATTCTCTATATAATTTGACTTGACTGTATTTTATGTTGATAACAAAGGAAACATTCCTTATACTTATTAGATTATTTATTGTACATGTGGGTAAAAATATATAGACCAAGACATAAAGCAAATGTTTTAAGTTTTTAAAAAATTGCTTCTACCTACTAATGAAGAATCTCTGAGAATAATCTCATGATTTGCTAATCGAAAGGATTATGGCCACTAAAATGTTTCTGTCTATAATCATTGCTTTCCCTCTGTATATAACATAACCACATGACATAAAGCATGGTTTGCTGAAGGTAACAAAATTAAGCATAGATTATCTTATATATCTTCTTTCCCTGAGAATTTTTATCTACTATAAATATCAATATCAGAAATCAGATTATTTTTGTTCAAATTTCAGTTCTACTACCTTTACCATCTGTCACTTTGGACAATTTACTTAACTTCTTTCAGCCTTTGTTTTCTGCTCTGAAAAATGGGAGTTAATATTATTATGGACCTTAAATCCTCTAGCATATAGTGAATGTTTCATTAATGTTAGTATAGTGATGATCTTGATGATGATGATCTGATGGTAATAAAGACAATGGTGGTGGTGGTGGTGGTGGTAGTGATTATAATTGAAATACCTAGTTGTATACCAAGAGAGAGCCTAACTAAATACCTAGAGGATTTCCATTTTCAACTGTATTGGAGGAACAGGGATCAGATTTATTCTTCCAGCCTAAGCAACTGAAACACAGGACGAAATATATAAAACAATGGTTTTCAGATATTTACAATAGGAATATAGGGCAGTGATTCCTGAGAAAAGAGAAACGAGTGACAAAAGTACTACAGTTATTCCAGCTTACTGTCAAAATGTTGTTTGTAGGTAATAGTGCAGGAAGGGAAACCCACATGGAACATGGCAAGCTCCTTGAATAGAGACATAGAGTTTAGAATTTTGGGATGCTAAGGTAGATAGAATTTGGGAGGTAGAGTACCAGAGAGGAGAGAGCTGCACAGAGAGAGAGAGAAGATTGAAAATCTGTAGAAGATTCTCCTCTATTTAGTGGAGTATTGATCATCATATGTATATGAGGAAACTTTCTGAGGCCAGAGAAAAATACAAGATGTAGCAGCCAATGGTATCTCAAGGTTCACAGAGGACTGAGAATGGGTTTGTGTTCCCATTAGCCAGGGTGGAAAGATCTCCTGACACATGGGGTATCAAGTAGGGTTCCCAAGAAGGGTGTTACCTCAGTAATGGGCCCAAATTATCCCTACATTAATGGCTGCTCTGAACCTGCCTAACAAACCTTAAATGCAAGCCTAGAAAGAGTCAGATTTTTCTGTGTCTCAGAACAAAGTCCACAAATATTTGAAAGAATGCACAAACTCCAACACTCAGAATTTTAAAATTCACAGTATGTAGTCTCCATTCAATAATTACCAAGCTTCTGGGGCACCTGGGTGGCTCAGCCAGTTAAGCTTCCGACTTCAGCTCAGGTCATGATCTCACGGTTCACACGTTCAAGTTCTGCTTGGGGATCTGTGCTAACAGCTCAGAGCCTGGAGCCTGCTTCAGATTCTGTGTGTGTGTGTGTCTCTCTGCCCCTTCTCTGCTTGTGCTCTCTCTCTCTCTCTCAAAAATAAATAAACATTAAAAAAACAATTAGCAGGCTTTTATAGAAGCAATAAAATATGAACAATAGTGAAGAGAAAAGTCAATCAATAAAATAGACCGCCAAATAGCACAGGTGATAGAATTAATAGTTAAGATGGTAAAAACAGCTACTATAGGGACTTCCAACTATAGTCAAATGAGAAGGAAGGCAAATATTCTCCCTAAAAAACACTCACAAAATTTATGTCAAGCCATGGCATGCTGTGAGCACCAATATCAGGCCTGCCATGGTGACAAGGGATTTACTTGATTGGTAGATGCTTCCTGTGCCCAGTGCATTGTTAGCGGAAGTGGCAATTACTGAACTATGAAAATACAGTATACTCAAAGCTGAGAAAAATAAGATTTTATATGCACCATATGTTTAAGAAGATAGAGGAAAACATGAGCATTATAAGGCAAGACATGGAACACATACATGGAATGTCTGGAGATGAGAAATACAGTTTTTGAGATGAAAACTACACTGGATGAGTACTGATGAGATTAGTAACAATTATATGTCACAGAAGAAATGATTAGTGAACTTGATGATGGAATGATGAAACTATCCAGAATGAAATAGATTAAAAAAAAAAAAAGACTATCAGTGCTGTTGGACATCAAATGGCCTAATGTATGTACCTAGAGCCCCAGAAGGAAAAGGAACAGAAAAACTTATTCAAAAAAGTAATGGCTGAAAATGTTTTAACTTTGAAGAACACTCTGAACTCAGATACGTAAGGATTGCAGTGAACCCCAAATAAATGAAACATGGAGAAAACTAAATATCTAGGATATATAAATCACTATTGTTTAGATAGGAGTATCTAGTCTAGAACTAGTCTAAATATCCTTTGAGTGTAAAGAGAAATACATTGTAATGAAGCACGTAAGACATTTTTGACGTACATTATGGATATAACTATGTTTCCTGAGAACCTGTCCTCTGTCTGGATATAGATAAATGTACATCTCAACAGATGTGCCTGATTATCTATTTCCTACCAACACAGAAAAATTCACTGCTTTTTAAATTTTTTTTTTATTTTTTAAGTTTATTGTCAAGTTGGTTTCCATATAACACCCAGTGCTCATCCCCACAAGTGCCCTCCCCCATGCCCAAAACCTGCCATCCCCTCTTCCCCACCCCCATCAGCCCTCAGTTTGTTCTCAGCATTCAAGAGTCTCTCATGGTTTGCCTCTCTCCCTCTCCCCAACTATTTTTCCCCTTCTTCTCCCCCGTGGTCCTCTGTTAAGTTCCTCTTAATCAACCTATACATGCAAACATATGGTATGTGTCCTTCTCTGCCTGACAAAAATTCACTGCTTTATTGAGTGACTTATTTTCTCTGACAGTTTAATAGAAAAAGAACCTGGGATTTGGAATCCAGTAAAGTAGAATTCAAATGGTGTCCTTCCATGTATGGCTTTGGACAGTGATTTTATCACTTTGACACTTCCTCCTTTGTCAATTTAGAATAATACTGCTCAACTTCATAGTCTTATTGCTAGTTAAACGAGCAAGTATATGTGAAAATGTCTAGCATAGGGGCCTGCTGTATACTGGCTTCTCTGTGCATGTGATTTCGATTTTCTCTTTCTAACCTTCTTCCTAAGTAGTCTTTTCTGACATCTCTTTTTGTTCCCCCTTAAACAATGACCATCGATACATGAGGAGACCATAGAGATCAGCTAGAATCAAGCTCTTTTTCTACAAATGAAAAAATTAAGCCCCAGAGAGGGCACATGTTTGCCAACGGGAAGGATGTTCTGTTTCCAAGCTCTACTGTGTCCTTTAAAAATGACATTAAAAGCAAGTTCTCTGTGCCTTCTCAGACGAAAAACAGAAATTAACATTTGCCAACAATTTTTATTTTAGAACACAATAATATAGATCTTAAAACTGACCATTTAAATGAATATGTTTATATTACAACTAAATTTCTAGAATGATGGATGTGTTGTTATGTGTGTTTAATAGCAGGATAAATGAGACAAAATAAAGGCAAGGAGGTTAGCTTTCAAGCTCCTGGTTGCACTAGAGTTACAAGCCAGATATTTGAAAACCGTGCTCGGTTTAGAAGGACAGGCATCTTAAAATAGACACTCTGTAAATATGCGTAGCAAAGAATATAAAGAAACATCACTTTAGACATGAAAAATAAATTACATATAGCATGGTATATAAAACATAATTATAATGTGTGCTTGCTCTTTGCAAAAATTAATTTTAAACATGAATAGAGACGAGAATATAGACCATGAGGAGTGTCCACACCCAGAAAGCCACATAGAAGCCACGCTGTGGCATGCGGCTCCCTGGGCAGAGGCCCAGGACAGCAGAAGAAGCCTGTGTTTCCATTTTTAAAGTACTTGCAATTGTTTGATTTAAAATATATATTAAAAAATTAGCTGCAGAGCCTATTTATAGTTGCAGGAACTTTTCAGAGAGAATAACACAAAAGCACTACAGAGCTGCTGAAATTTTAAATAATTCTTTGTAAATGCCCTAGGTTAATTTAGATCCTTGAAAACACATTAGGAAATTAAGCTGTAATGTGAGCTAATTCAGATTTTAATTTGGCAAAAAGAATGATCCAACTACACAGTTAATGTAAATAGAAGCATAACACAGGGAAATTAATGAGGTTTCCTTCCGATGAATCTTCAAGGAGGTAGATAATTAGCTTCTTTTGTTATTATTGCAGGAGAATGTGGCATTGTCTCTGAGGTGTAAAATAACTGTGGCTTACTAAGTGATAATGTGCTTCATTTGTCTTTTTTTTTTTTAATAATTATTTATGTTAAATTCTTGTAGGACGAAGCAGCAGCACAGCCGCTAAATCTCTCTTCCCGACCCAAGACAGCCGAGCCTGTAAAGTCCCCAACATCTCCCACCCAGAGTCTCTTCCCAGCCAGCAAAACCAGCCCCGTTAATCTGCCTAACAAAAGCAGCATCCCCAGCCCTATTGGAGGAAGTTTGGGAAGAGGATCCTCTTTAGGTAAATGGAAAGGTCAACAACAGGAAAAGATGTATGAATTGGGTAAAATAAAGCAAACCTGTTCAGTGCTGACTGATCCCTGTTTCCAAAGTGTTGCTAGTCCAGGAAAAACAACAACAACAACAACAACAAGTAAAAGTAAAATCCTTTCTACTAAAACATAACACCTTTTGGTGTCTTGGGATGATTAGAACTTTTGGAAAAGGTCATAATATAAATCCTGCTGGGATGGGTTCTTTAGATGCTGATGAGTTAGATCCAGCAAATCAGAGACTTGGGGATTTCTGTGTTTGGTTAGTGCTTTGCTGCTAAAGTAACTCTAGGCAGACAAGAGTGATCAAGAAAACTCCGAGAGCCTAAAGGGACCTGGCCTCCAAGCTGCCTGCTAAAAGTCCAAAATTTCTTTGAAGTTTTATATTTTCTTTTTAGAATGTATGTGAATTTTACATCTTATTCCTTATTAGTTTTGCTTTAAAACAAATGCGAATGACACACTTCAATGGCATAATATGAAAAAAGATTGGTATCTGATAAGGTATGTCGTAATGATCCTCTGGTTTCTTATACTCTCTGATATATAGCCAAGTATCTCTAGGGACATTCATACCCTAGCAAGAAGTATAGAGGAAAAACATGAGTTTTGGCATCAGACAGACTTGGACTCAGAGCTTTCACTTATTTGTTATGTGACCCTGGGAAAGTTATTTAATATTTGTGAACTCAGTTTCCTAATCTCTTAGAGGGGAATATGATTACCTAGCTCATAGGTTGTTAGGAGAATTGAGAGAGAGAAAATGCATATAATTGCCTAACACAGTGTCTGACACCTAGAAATCATGTGATTTAAAAAGACTGGACTGAACCAATACTAACAGATTTACTTCTACATGTGGAATGAAACAATTACTGTAAAAGCATTTGTTAGTAGCTGAGTGTCAAATAGGCTAATTAACATGTTGTTACTAAGCCCCTTAATTTTCATCTAAGACACAGAGATTCCAAGGGATTGGGGACTTAGAACTAGCATTTCTTCACATTACCTTACTTGCCCTTATTGAGTCCCAGAGCCTGAAATGCTTAGTAGAATAAACAAAATAATATGTAAGTGTAGGATTTGCAGTTTAAAAGTCATTTTTGCCTACATATCTCATTTGATTTTTCATAATTATCTTATGTGGCAGTGCATTATTACCCTCATTAATTAACCTGTGATTCTTACAGGTAAAATGGCTTGCTTACAGCCAGGTAGCTATTAATTAGTACAGCCAAGACTAGAATCTGGGTCCTCTCACCTGAGTTCTATAAACTCGGTGCTGTGTTATGTGAGGTCACAATTGGGAGTATTTGCTGCACTTTGCTGGGGTTAAGTGAATCTTCTAATGGTGAGACATAGTTCTTTCTCATTCAGATTTGGAACATTAGGATCCGTGTAGCAGCCTATTCTCATTTTAAGTCAGTGATACTCATATGGGAGAGAGAAGTGAGTCATTTCCAGCACGTGAATATGGTTGCTGGATTGTTGGAAGCTATGAGATAAGGGAAAATAAAAAGCCAACTTAAGGATAAATACTAGGCTTGATCCTGAAATGGCCTTTCCATAGTCCACTTCTGAATTTGGTGTGGAAAGTATTTGTTTGCTATATATACTGAGTATCATGAGGGACAAAGGTGACAAGTCACAGGCCCTGCTTCTATGGAGTTTATCCTTCAGCAGAGCATATTTCTTGGATCATGAGCTAGACATAGGCTGAAGCAATCACAATTTTGTCCAGGCAATATTGGATAGAAATGTTTTGTTTTATTTTTATCAGAAGAGCTTCAGAGCAAAATGTTATTAGTTTTCTAAATCCTAACAAGTGATTGTTTGACTTCTAAATAATTTTCTATAGACAGCCTTGGGAATTTTCCCTAAACTCATTCATATGCACATGTATTGCACACACGTAGATGTGTGGTGTGGGCTTGACTCTAGTCTGGTTCTCTCTGTCCTGTCTAAGGTGTGTGCACACATACACACATACATGTGCTATGAAATGCTCATATCAAGATACAAACAAGTGGATCACATTAAACTTTACCACAGCAGCTGCAATCTATCAGTCAGCAAGCAGTTGCCCTCTTTCTGTCTAAAATTGGAAAAGCTTATGTAAAGTATTAATTTTAACCTATAGTAAAATACAAGACACAGAAGAGAATTAGTTTAATTTCATTTTCCCCCCTCCGAGTTGCATGGAATATAATGAAAGTAAATATTTATTCTCACTGTACTTGAAGCTTTGTACTGATGTGAAAACCATTCCCACACATATAGCCTCGCTATCACAAAAACAGGGAGCTGAGAGCAGTGGGTGTTCGGTTGGGGGTAGGGAACGGGTTGTCATTCTCTTGGTAAATAACTGAGGCAGCATGATGAGTAGAATGCTTCATTAACCAGCCAGTGATTGGGGAATGGAGAGTGCAGTGTATTCCTTCCCACCCCCTCTCTCCTGCAGTGGACATATGAGCACACAGATAAAGATGTCACTAATGTACACATATAGCCTCACAGAATTTGTTTCTGCTGGGCCAGAAACAGCTCTCCTGCATTAGTATACCCAGTATAACGGGCATCCTGCACAGACATCTCTGTACCTCTCCCTACCCTCTTCTTTCTGACTCTCCCCAACTAGCCTATCTCCCTCTTCCTGACTCTCCCCAACTAATTGTTAGATCTAGCCAGAATAGACACATAGACACACACACACACACACACACACACACACACACACACACATACAATTGGAATGTAGGAACCCTCATCTGTGAGGAGGTGGGTTGACTGAGCCCAGATTAACTGGAGTGCTGGGGGTATCCTCCAAGGGCTAAAAACCCAGCACAGCTTGGTTTTCTTGTGCTCTATGTATAGTATTGCAGCTTCCTTAATAGCAAACATGCCCCCTTTCTTATTTGGAGAATGCAGAATTCTACAGGGGATTGGACAGTGACAGTATTTTGTTAGCATCTAAGCTCACAAGCTTCTAATCATGCATCCTGTGTATGCAGATATCCTGTCCAGTCTCAACTCCCCTGCCCTGTTTGGAGATCAGGATACAGTGATGAAAGCCATTCAGGAGGCTCGGAAGATGCGAGAACAGATCCAGAGGGAGCAACAGCAGCAGCAGCCACATGGCGTCGATGGGAAACTGTCTTCCATGAACAATGTGGGGCTGAACAACTGCAGGAGTGAAAAGGTAAAACTTGCTTCCCTCCTTCCTGACTCTGCTGGACCCATTAGCTCATTCTCATCTGGCTCTTACTGTGGGGTTGCCTCCCATGTACCCAACCAGGCACCCAACCTGGCACCCAAACTACCTGCCTGTTGGTATATTTCTGTCCCATTACAAAAGATTTAAAATATTTTGTAATAAAGGGAATATATGAGGCTATTAGAACAGGAATAGAATATCTGAATACTTAAAAAGAAGGAAGAAGCATATATGCTCATGATGAAGGCTACTCATTACTATGACTCACCATTGAATTTATTGCTAAGTTCCCTATCTACCAGGGCAAAAAAATAAACTAAAGCAACTTACAAAATGCATTCATTTATTTTTTGATTCAACAAATTATGTATCAAGTGTTTATTCTGTAGTTGACATTGTTCTAGGCACTGGAGATACAACAGTGAACTAATCAGACAAAAATCCCTGCTCTCATTGAGCCTACACTGTAGGAAAGCAAGGGCAATGAAGAAATTAAAAATTAAATACATAATGTAATGTCAGTAAAGTCATGAGCTCAATAGATGCCATGAGAGAAATAGAAACAAGTTAAGGGAGTAGGGAGTTACAGGTTGTTCTTTGATGGAATGGACTCTCTGAGGAAGTAGCACTTCATGGAGACCTGTATGAAGCCATGTGTAGGCGATGTGATGAGTCAGAGAAGAGCATCAGGGCAGCAGGAATGATAAATAAAGAGGCCCCTGGAGTATAGAACCGCCAACAAGGAGATCCATGTGGCAAAACTAGCATAGGAGAAGGAAGCAAGGTGGGACCTGAAGTAAAGTGATAACCCTGGTGGAACCTGCAAGAAGTCTTAGGCCCTGGAAAGTTTTTGCATTTTATTCTGAGGGTGATGGGAATCCCTGGATGGGTATTGTTCAGGGAACAAACAAGATATGATTTACATATAAAAGGATCCTCCTGACCAATATGCAAGAATGGACTGTAGGAAGTTAAGAATGGAAACAGCCCTGGAACATCTGACTCTTGATTTCTACTCAGGTCATGATCTCATGGCTTCCTGAGTGAGCCCCTCTCAGGGCTCTGCACTAATGGCAGAGCCTGCATGGATTTCTCTCTCTTGCCCTCTCTTTCTGTTCCTCCCTCATGTGCTCGCTCTCTCTCTCTCTTTCTCTCCCTATCTCTCTCAAAAATAAACAAACTTAAAAAGACAAAAAAAGCATGAAACTAAGGAGACCAATTAAGAGGCTACTGTAGTACACTGGGTGAAAAATTCTGATTAACTAATGAATGAATGAAACATACCATTTTTTAAAGAGATGACAGTATTTTCCTAGTGCCACATTCTGAAAGTTTTTTTTTTAAAACATGAGAACTGTATAGGGACACATGAGTAGGATAGTGAGTAGTATCTTTGGTAATAGTTTTAGAATAAATTTAAAAAGTTATTTCCATTCATATGTTTATTCAGTATAGGCTGAGACTATAACTTATAAGTTAGAACCAAGAGCCTCTGCTTTGTTTCTATCCTTACTACTTCTAGCATGGGTGCTGTGATAGAGATTCTATTCTTTCAAATAAACTTACACTTTCCTATTTCCTAGAAGCAGTTTTAAACTAGCATGTGGAAAAAGTCATGACACAAGTATAAGGTCATGTGTACTGTTACTTGAGTATTTGAATATATAGCTATAACCATGGTGTTGTGTGTTTTCTTTGTTTCCTCTTCAAAAGGCATGGTGATGTGATACTCTGAGATTTTGGGTGTATTAGTTTCCTAAAACTGTAACAACTAAACTAGATGGCTTAAAAGAACAGAAGTTTCTTTTCTCACTGTTCTGGAGGCCAGTTTAAAATAAACGTGTTGATTGGGCCATACTCTTTCTGAAAACTCTAAGGAAGATTTCTTCCTTACATCTTTCTAGCTTCTGATGGTTGCTGGCAAGCTTTGTCATTCCTTGTCTTTCAGCTACATCACTCCCAGTTTCTGCTTCCCTCCATATGGCTATCTCGTGTGTGTGTGTGTGTGTGTGTGTGTGTGTGTGTGTGTGTGTGTGTCCAGATCTCCCTCTTCTTATAAAGACAAAAGTGATTCAATTTAGGGTCCACTCTAATCCAGTGTGACCTTGTTTTAACTTCATTACATCTGTAAATACCCCATTTCCAAATAAGGTCACATTCACAGATACCAAGGGTTAGAACTTGAACACATCGATCTTGGGGACACAATTCAGCCAATTACAGTAGGATACAGAGCCATTGCTCATGTTAAATCAACCGCTCATCCTTGATTGATCCCCTATACTCTTTAGCCACACAAACAGACTGCTGAGGTTCAAGGGCTGGGCTGGGGTGTAAGTATGATGGGATTCTCAAAATATGAACATTGTCGAAGTCTTCACATAGATTAGAAAGCTTAGCTCTGGAAGTGTTGACTTCCCAAAGCTTAATAAGGAATTTTATGTCATTCCTCACTGCACTGACTTACTAATGTTAACATAAAAAAATCAATAAAAAATTGATTATTGGACCTCTTTGCCTTGATCAAGCCTTGATGAGAGGCTCAGATCAAGTTGGAGAAAAACTGTTTGGGGAAATGTGTGTCTTTTGGTGCCTACTAAGCCATAAACTTTTGTATACTTGGGACTCGTGGTATATATGCCAGTCACTGGATCTGCTTGGTCAACTAAGTACCTCATCTTCAGAAGGCAGAACCCCTCTTTAAGAACCTCCTGGGTTCTTAAACCCTTATGGTTACATATAGAGTGAAGTCTCAGGACCACAAAAGAAGAAAAGTCTTGCCCCCAAACCTCTTCTACTATTCTGATATTAGAGATAAACACAGAGTTGTGTGTTAGACTACTAATTTCAAATACTACAGGTTAATTTTAAGTATTGCTCATTGACTTTTCTTAATTTATTTGGGAGGGAGAAGTCTGAGGTTCTGAAATAATGAAATTTTATTTTGCTTTGGAAGACACAGGAGAGAGATGAGAGATTAGACTATGATTGAAAAAATACTAATAAATCCAATCTTGACCTAAAATAAGTCACATTGAATATAACTGAGCCCCTGAGGGTAAATGGCAAAAGTAGTTTCTACAGAACCAGAAAACCCTTGAAGGGCGTTGTCTCTGTAGATGACTTTACTGGGGTTGAAATTTGGGCACTGAATAGTCAAACATAATGGAAAATCTGTTATATTCCATTATGTATAAGAAGAGTTCACAAGCTTTACTTAATAAGATCTCCCTTTTAAATAACTTCACTGTTTTGAATGTAGTTTGTACATTTATAGACTTTTTTTAGTTTCTAGAACTGCTATCTATCCTTGCTTGTTAGGTTGGATGCATTCAAAAGAGTAAATTGAGAACAGTATTACAGTATCTTTGGCTCTCTTATAATCAAAACATCCATCTTAATTTTATGATGGTCCATAGGATACTGATTTTTCTTCTGAGGATCAAATTTTCTTCTGAGGTCAAAGAGGGTAAATATATAATATGCAGTAAGATAGGTGAAATGGATTGTGACAAATTCATTTTAAGTGTCTTTGCAGTTCACTTTGGAATTATTATCTTAAATATAAAGATCCATAAATTAGATTTATGAATTTATTCTTTAATGCCCATAATACAGTTTTAGAGAGTTTTTTAAGGTGTTGCTGTCACAAAACCTTATAACATGTCAAGCATAACTGGTCACTCTCTTATTTGGACAATCTTTGCAGAGGAGTGTGTCACAGATTTGGGTCCCTTGAGAATTGGGATGTGAGCTTGAGGCTAGCGAGCATGTTTATTGGGGTGTGCTCTCTTTCATTGCCACCTATGGGAGGAAAAGGACAAAAGCAGGATTGGTTTATGATGCAGTCTCAGTCAAGCCTCAGCAAACCCCACAGGAGGCTTTGAGGCTGCCATGGCCATTCAGAATTGTCCTGAATTGGGTGGAGGGGGTGAGCCTTTACACACTTGTGTCAACCAGTCATTGGATGGGAGCTACCCTGGGCAGGAGACATGACCTTCGGTGAGGTGACTTTCTTTTTTTTTTTTTTACAAATAGTTTATTGTCAAATTAGTTTCCACATAACACTCAGTGCTCATCCCCATAAGTGTCCTCCTCTATGCCCATCCCCCCCCCCCCCCACATCCATCAGTCCTCAGTTTTTGTCAGCATTCAAGAGTCTCTCATGGTTTGCCTCTCTCCCTTTCCCCCACCATTTCCCCCCTTCTTCTCCCCCTTGGTCCTCCGTCAAGTTCCTCCTAATCCTCCTATACGTGCAAACATATGATATTTGTCCTTCTCTGCCTGACTTATTTCGCTCAGCATAACACCCTCAAGGTCCATCCATGTTGCTACACATGGCCAGATTTCATTGTTTCTCATTGCCATGTAGTATTCCATGGTATAGATAAACCACATCTTCTTGATCCATTCATCTGTTGATGGACACTTAGGCTCTTTCCATGTTTTAGCTATTGTGGAGAGTGCTGCTATGAACATTGGGGTACATGTGCTCCTATGCCTGAGCATTTCTGTATCTCTTGGGTAAATTCCTAGCAGTGCTATTGCTGGGTTATAGGGGAGTTCTATTGTTAGTTTCCTGAGGAACCTCCACACTGTTTTCCAGAGGGGCTGTACCAGTTTACATTCCCACCAACAGTGTAGGAGGGTGCCCGTGTCTCCACATCCTTGCCAGCATCTAGAGTTCTCTGATTTGCTCATTTGAGCCACTCTGACTGGCGTGAGGTGGTATCTCAGTGTGGTTTTGATTTGTATTTCCCTGATGAGGAGGGATGCTGAGCATCGTTTCATGTGTCTGTTGGCCATCTGGATGTCCTCTTTGGAGAAGTGTCTGTTCATATCTTCTGCCCATTTCTTCACTGGGTTGTTTGTTTTTCGGGCGTGTAGTTTGGTGAGTTCCTTATAGATTCTGGATATTAACCCTTTATCTGATATGTCATTTGCAACTATCTTTCCCCATTCCGTTGGTTGCCTATTAATTTTCT